CACCGTGATTGACACATTCTCCTGTCCATTCAAGATCCCACTTACACGGAGTTGATGTGGGAGTTATACACCACCTACTCCTTTCGGCTTATTGCGACTCCCGATCGTCTCGACGTTATCACCTTCCGGCTGGGCGGGGCCGAGTGGTCTATGAGTATGGATGGCCTTGCCAGAGCCTTGGGCATCATCTACCCCCGCCCCCTACGACATTAAGAAGGTCGCTAACCCATATGATTTCCGCACCTTGAGTTCTTCCTTAGATTTGCCGCTTGGAGGCTAGACATATGCGATTCAAGGGCGGGCAGACCAATGTCACCACCCTTTACCTCAATGGCACATCATCAACCTCCTTCTCACTCGCTTGGTGGTCCCCAATGCCAGGGGTTCGTGCAAGCTCACAAAGCGTGTGCTCTACTACATGTTCACTATGATGGATCCGGACCATCACCTTCATCTCGGTTCTGTCATGGCTAAGACCTTCGCCAAGTGCCATGCTAAGCCCAACTATCTTTATTGTGGTCTCCTAGTCACCCTTCTGGCCCGACACTTTCAGGTGGATTTCTGGGGTTTGACTGACGCCTCTTCTCAGTTCGGCTTACACTCGCTCAATAGGGTCGTCCTTAGCAATGCCCTTCTCCTGACTTTAGCTGATGGCCGGGAGTGGGTGGATGGTCTTTCCATGCCGCCAGATGGTGCTGCGGTTGATGATGATGACGAGGAGTCTGAGGCAGATGATGATGATGCTAATGACGATGACGATGGTGGAGATGATGCTGATGGCGTTGCGATGGAGCCCGAGTTATCCCCGCTTGGGATCCTCCACCACGATGAAGACCAGAGCGAGGTGAGTCCTCCTTCGGTTGTTCTATTTCATCGATGGAGTTCTTCACTGACTAGTTCCATCATATGGGTCTCTAGTTCTAGCAACTAGGTCTCAAGAATCTACAGCTCATAGATCACCAGCTCTAGTTCGAGCAGCAGTATTCAACTCATCAGGCTTAGTATGTTGCTCAATTTGAACAGATTGAAAGTCACCTCGACCAATTCGCGGTTCAACATCAGGAACTTCATACCCGTCTTGACCGAGAGCGGGACCGAGGGCGCAAGCTAATGGAGTACCAGAAGCACCTACTCTAGTCCTGCCATCCGGAGCACCACTTGACTACTCCGTGGGTGCACTCTCCATCACCACCGCCAGGGGATGCTGATGACATCATGAACAACATCGACTTCGACCACCTCGAGTAGGTTGTACTCGCTGGCTCCCCCTCTTGTTTGTTCTAGTGTTTGTTGAGTGTTTGTGTTGTTTTGGAGGAGTGCAGACCGGATTATTTGTGTTTGTTTTTTTTTTTTTGGATATTGTGTCATTGCGCTGACAACTCTACCTAATTATTCTGTGTTTGAGTGGTTGTTTTTGTATTAGCCCGTGTTCTTGCTACTACTGGTCCCACTTTCAGTCCTCCGCCTTGACTGGTCCACTCTCCAGTCCTTATTATGCAGCCTGTTTTCCGCCCTGGCCTTGAGCTCAAACTTGCGGGCCACGTTAGTCGTAGCGTAGGTCTCCCAGAGAGACTTCCACATCGCTACAGATGTGGGTAGAAGCCGAAGCCCTAAGATGATTGAGGTATCCACCGATTTCAATATCCAGGAACGAACTCGTGCATCAGATTGCACCCATTTAGCAAGCTCATGATCGGAAGCCGGAGGAACGGTAGGGCACTTGCCGGAACGTCCAAGAAACCATAATAACCTTGAGTTTTAACTAATGTACGAAATTGAAACTCTCAAATCGCAAAGTTCTTTGAATTCAGACGAGTATTGATCTGATCGGACTCCATAAGCGCAGGCTCTGATACCATGATAATCGAAACGTATGTTTAGATGAAACATATGGAACAAACGGATTTATGTGGTTTCCTTGATCGTTGTGATCAAGACTAGTCCATAGACAAAGCTAGCTTCTACTAGCTTATACCCGGCATGTTGGCCGGAATATTTCAATTTATTTGTATTAAGCTATAGTAATTAAGGTTTTATTAGGAATTCATTAGCATAGTGTTAATCAGTCACAATATCTACCTTGTTGAACTTCTTTTAGCAATTTAGTTTCTGTCTCGATTGATATTTCCAATCATTTCATGTGTATGGATTATCAATCATTGACTTAATACAGTATCGTTTGAACAAAGTGGAGTGAAAGATGGAGACAATGGTAGGTTGAATGGGGCTAAATTATATAGCTACAACTGTATATTTTCGACTTAGGTTAACCGAATTTAACCAACATAGTTGATTAAGAAAAGGTGAAAATCACAATCATACCATTTTCAAATTCGTTAAACCAATATTGTTCATTATGGATCACTCGATAAGCCAATATCCAAAAGAGTGAAAACCATAATTCCAAAAGTAAAAATACTTTTGTAATAAAAAACCATAATGGAAACTAAAACCAAAGAAAATGTTATACGCATTCTGTAACAACTGGGTTTAGTGGGATTCATGCGGCTAGGGTTTGAGGGAGGCTGTGTTTTGGGTAAATGACACATTTGGTCACTGAAATTATTAAATTGTGTCATGTTTAGTCACTAGAAAAAATTAATATCAATTTTGTCACTCGAATTACCGAAACTGGTCAAATTTAGTCACTCTCCCGTCAGTTTCCGTCCAACTCAATTAATGTAGTTGGACGGAAACTTTTGGGAGAGTGACTAAATGTGACATGTTTCAGTAATACGAGTGACTAAAAGTGACATTTTTCAATAATTCGAGTGACCGGAGTTGGACAGAGGCTACAGAAGAGTGACCAAATGTGACCTGTGTCAGTAATTCGAGTGACCAAAATTGATATTAAATTTTTCTAGTGACTAAATATGACACGATTTAGTAATCTCGGTGACCAAATGTGTCATTTACCCCTTTGTTTTGGGCTCTGTTTGTTGTGTTTGTGGCTGTGGGCTCAATTTTATCTTGAGCTGGGTGTACTGCTTTGGGCACTTTTTTGGGCTTAATGAGCTTTTTTTTTCTTGCTAACTGTATGTGGTCTTTCCATTGGGCTTACTCCCACTTTGTACGTACTCTCTCAGTTTGTAATGAAACTTTGTAATGAAACTGATCCTTGTCAAAAAAAATTCGTAACAACTGATAAAAGGGAACGTTCATCTAACAATGAGAAAAAATTATTTCATGTTTTTATAATGAAAAAATTAATTAATTTTGTATATAAGGAATTCATAAACATAAAGAGCTACTACAGCTTGTGTTCTGCTTGAAAAGTTTGACCTTTATACAATATTTTGTCCAATTCGTAAGCTGGAGTTATTATGCACAATAAACCAAGAGATCTCGGTAGCTCAAATTACCAATACAATGATACATGGTAAAGATATCTAAGTAGCGATTTGGACCAAATATTCAGTCGAATTGAAACTGGGACAACAAAAATGTACTTAGGACGATGATTGGCCAAACTCAAACTATTGTTGTAATTAAATCCACACTATTGTTATAGTGTCTCACAATTCGTCCAAAGAGTAAAGAATGCCGCATGACCATTATCGGTAGAATTCTCAAGCTTATAACCATCGCCGATAATCTGCCAACATAGTAAGAATATGGATATTTTAGAAGGGTCACAATAAATGAAGTTGCAAGTCATATTTGATGCAACGATAGTTTATTAATGAATACAGGATTTGATTCTGACAGCAAAAAAAATTACGATTGAAAATCTATTTTTGTGTCCCGATAAAAGTAAAAGAACTGAACGGGAACTCTGTCATAAACCAGTTGATCCCAATAACTCAAATTGTTGGGAAAAGGTTATGCTGGATCTTATACCACTCTCTAACACGCCCCCTCAAACGAAAGCCAACCCATGGGCTTGAAGTTTGCACAGGCGATCATCATACCTTGTGCTTTAATCAACTGTTAATATTGTGGGTCGTAGAAATTCGAACACATGACCACTTGACCAAACAAATTCTGATTACATGTCATAAGCCACCTCTTTTGTAGCTTGCATAGGATACACAGCCTAGGCTGTTAACGGAGCTCAGAAGTTGATTGACATGGGTCTAGAATTCATCCCCATGGAACAAATCATCATGGATGCAGTTAATCAGTACCTAAAGAAAAGGATACGTCTCCTAAGTGAAGCTTTTTTCTGGCCTCGACTTGTTGTCGGTGAATGGAGACGACAAACCAATCAACGTGGCTAGAAAAAACCTAGTAGCTTACCGACCGACTGCATATGTTACCAATCGATTAGCTGCTTCAATGGCTGTTTTCAATTGGATGAGTGGTATTTTTTACTGTTTACTCGGTGGAAAAATTATTCGGGTTAAGTCACGATAATAGCATACATCCAGCAGCAGCACCCAGTCAGTGATTCCCTGCGGCATGGTCCTAGTAAAGCAATTAAAAAGGTATAAAAAAGGAGAGGAAATGGTAGCCAGCCCATGAGAAGCTTAGTTTCAGAATTCACGTGAGAAAAGGCTGTACCCAAGGTTGTCGATCCATGGGTAGACCCGGCTGTACTCAAGGTTGTCAATGTCGACCACCCGTTTTGATCCGATTCGGTGAGAAAAACGAGCCGCACGCATTCGTCGGGTCGACTGCTACAAGATATCGAGTTCGAAGTTAAATTGTATCATTTTTTTTTGTTTGCGAAATGCGCATATTTTACGATTTTTCTTTTAGAATACTCAATCTTTGAAATCCTTAGTTGAACATTTGAATATTGATATTATATAAGTGTGAATTTTCACTATATGTTTCATCTAACTATGACATGTTACTTTAGTGTAATATTATATATTATTACTCATATGTTAGATGAAATTTGATATAATTTATCAGGATAAGTACAATATATTGACTCTTTTCATATTTCCGGACTAAAACGGACTAATACGAGTGATCGTTAACTTTTAACCCACTAACTCGACTGGATCCCGGTCAACCCGCGAGTTGACAACCTTGGCCGTACCCAATACAGCACTTTCTCTGGCCGCAGGGGCATTGGCCTAACTCCCACTCGCCCACTCCCTTTCCCTTACACTCTCCCACTCCTTCCCCTCCTATATATATGTATACATATCTCACAGTTCCACAACCACAAAGAAGAAGAAAAAACCATGAAAACCCACTTCCTCTGCCCACTCTCCTTCCTCTTCTTCTTTGCCTTGGCCGCTCAGGCTGCCCCAGACGCGAACCCAAAATGTGAAGCCCCTCAAGACCATGGTTCGACCCTGAGGGTATTCCACATCTTCAGCCCTTGCTCCCCCTTCCGGCCACCGAACCCCGCGGCGGCGTCGTCGTGGGAGGAGAGCGTGCTCCAGTTGCAGGCCAAGGACCAAGCCAGGCTGCTTTACCTCTCCAGCCTGGTTGCCAAGCGATCTGTTGTGCCCATTGCGTCAGGCAGGCAGATCGTTCAGAGCCCTACTTACATTCTGAGGGCTAAGATTGGAACCCCTCCTCAGACCATGCTCATGGCTCTTGATACCAGCAGCGATGCTGCTTGGATCCCTTGCAATGGCTGCGTTGGCTGCCCTTCTTCCTCCTTGTTCGACTCTCACAAGTCCACCACATTCAAATCCCTCGGCTGCCAGTCCCCTCAATGCAAGCAGGTAAACCCCTTTTTTTTCCAATTCTTTTACTGCAAAAGATCACGTGATTTAGTAACATTACTAAACTGGGATCATTATTGATTTATATAATATTTAGTTGTTTTTAGTCATCATTCTGTTTAGAAAGGAACAGAATGTGACATCATTTGTATTTTGTAACGCTTGGATACTCAGGAAAGAAAGTGCATGTGACTTTTTTTTTTTTTGACGGGGGGAACAAAATTGCAGGTACCCAACCCTACTTGCGGCGGCAGCGCGTGCATGTTCAACATGACCTACGGCGGCTCTTCCATCGCCGCCAACCTCTCTTCCGACACAGTCACTCTGGCCTCCGACCCGGTCCGGGGCTACACCTTCGGGTGCATCCAGAAGGCGACGGGGAGCTCCGTGCCGCCGCAGGGACTTTTGGGCCTGGGCCGAGGTCCGTTGTCGTTCCTCTCCCAAACCCAAAGCCTCTACAAGTCTACCTTCTCCTATTGCCTCCCAAGCTTCAAGTCCCTCAACTTCTCCGGCTCGTTGAGGCTTGGGCCTGTGGCCCAACCACAGAGGATCAAGTACACCCCGTTGCTCAAAAATCCCAGGAGATCGTCTCTCTATTACGTGAATCTGGTCGGGATTAAGGTCGGCCGGAAAGTCGTCGACATTCCGGCTGGTGCTCTGGCTTTCAACCCACCACCGGCTCCGGCACCATCATCGATTCCGGTAATATTACTTTCATTAGGGTTTCGGAACCAGCATACGAATTTAATTATCAATTGGGGGAGTACGTACTAATTAGGGTTTCCGCTTCCTCGTTGCAGGCACGGTGTTCACCCGGCTGGTGACGCCGGCGTACACGGCGGTGAGGGACGAGTTCCGGAGGAGGGTGGGGCGCAACGTCACGGTGACGTCACTGGGCGGGTTCGACACGTGCTACTCGGCCCCGATCGTGCCACCCACCATCACGCTCCAGTTTGCGGGGCTGAACGTGAGCCTCCCGGCGGAGAACATCATGATCCACAGCACCGCGGGGAGCACGTCGTGCCTGGCGATGGCGGCGGCGCCGGGCAACGTGAACTCCGTGGTGAACGTGATCGCCAACATGCAGCAGCAGAACCACCGGATCCTGTTCGACGTGCCCAACTCCAGAATCGGGGTGGCGCGTGAGCAATGCACGTGATCGATGATATTAGGCTACGGCCGCTGGGGATTGGGGCGCTTTTGAAAGGAAATTTTGAATTATAGTATGTGCTAGGCTAGCTAGCTTCTCGTACGTTTTGGATCGTGACTTGCTCATGGGTTGTCGTTTTGGACCCATCAGGCAGGGGGTTCAGGGATCTGAGTTGAGGTCAGGTCAGGTCTGGCTGAGGCTGAGCACTTTTGTTTGTTTGTTTGCTTTATCTTTGTTGTTGGAGTAGCTGTCACGGGATGGGATATGTATTTGGTCAAATAAGTATACAACAATAATGTCTCTACCGAAAAAGGTTGCTTGTATTCGAAGATGGCAGCACTGCGGCACGGTCACGGGTGCGGGCAGTGGAGTTTATTTTTAAATTTTAATTTGAATGTTGCGGTGCTCCCTGTCACGGAATTGGAGATTTTGGCGATGTTACTCATTTTCTGTCCGTCAAATTCCAAATGACAGCGTTCTGGCATCTGGCCTGTACCAAATGCAAAAGTGCGTATTCTATATCACGGATAATAAACAGGGGCAGACGGCAGTCATCGCACAACTATACGCTGAATCTGGCCACCGTCAGCAACATCGGTAAGAACATCCTTATTGCGTCTATAGTTGTCCGATAGGTTACTTATGTGATTAAGGGTGTTCAAACGGTGTAGTTATCGTAGTAACCGTTTTAATAAATAGTATTTGAATAATTTGATTTGGTTAATTTGGGTAATTGTTTTGTTTGGTTAAACTTTTTATTTTGTTTGGTTTAGGTGTTTTGATTGGTTTCAGACGAGGGAGGATCCCATGACTAAGGGGGGTCCTTAGTCACTTGACTAATCCCCTCCTAGCCATTAGATATGGACAGATCAATCCAACAGTTAAAAACTAGGAAGGAATTTTTAGTTAGTGGCAGTTGTAATTTGGGTATTATGAAAAATTACGAACTATACAAACCGGACTTACAAACAGTACAAACTAAAATGACAAAACATACAAATTAATTGGAGGAGTACTACTGATTAATAAATAAATAAATTATGCAATTATCACTATATCGTTGAATAAATTAGATAAATCTGAACCATTAGATTTAACAACATTCAATGGTTAAGATTGGCTTAGTCATGTGACTAATGGACCCCATTAGTCACCTGACATTAGCCCATTTCAGACACTGCTAACCAATCAAACCAAATTAACCATATATCTAATATTGTATATATACATACTTAATACTTTGCATAGCCACTAAAGAGACAAATGTTTCTCCCTTTTAGGATCATAAATTATAAAGATCAATATTGTTCCTATACTATATATTTGTATTTGTATAGTGTAGACTAGGGCTGTCAGTTAGGTTGCCGGTTAGCGGCTAACCGGCTGGTCTAACCGTTAACCACCGGTTAGCGGCTAACCGAAAACCAAAAAAATGGGTGGCGGTCGTTTGTCGGAGGCGTTCAGTGGTTAGGCGGTTAGCCAAAAAACCGAGGCCGGTTAACCGGCTAACTGACGCTAACCGACCAACGCTAAACGACCCCGTTTTGGCCTAAATAAAACTACCCAACCCATCCTAAACCCTAGCAGTCCCACTCCACTCCCACACAGGCCACAATCGCCCCACTCCACTCCCACACAGGCCACAGCCGCAGTACAGCTCTCCACCTCACGCTCACCGTCGTCGTCCCCGACGCGGCCGCCGCCGTCATGAAGGAGATCGGCCAGCGGATGGAGAAGTTCGCCCGCCTCATGGGGGTGCCCTTCGAGTTCTGCGTCGTTGCCGGACGGCTGGCCGACCTCACGGGAGACCAGCTCGCCCTCGCGGTCAACGACGACGCCACGCATGCAGGTGAGCGCCTCCTCTCCCGCGCCGTCATCGCCTTCGTCGTCCTCCGCCAGGCGAGCACCTCCGTCGTCCTCAGCATGCGAGCGCTTCCTCCCCCGCGCCTTCGTCGTTGGCGACTGCTGCTGCTTCTTCCTATTTGAAATTGAGAGATGGAAGGAGAGAGAAGGCAGATCTAAAATGGAGAAAGGTAAGGAGAGAGAAGCAGTTGTTGTGATTGTGACTGTGAGGAAGATGGGGATGATTTTCTTTCGTGTTTTTTTTTATTAATTAAACGCAATCGTTTTGAAAAGAAGGGGTAGGTTTTTTTTTAGGCAGCTAACCGAGCCTAAAACCGAAACCGGCCGGTCGGTTGGCCGGCTAACCATGGCTTTCTCACGGTCGGTGGGCGGTAGTCATAGGGAGAGTCTCAGTTTTACCGATAACCGGGATTTCGGTTTTCGGTTAAACCGAAACCGATCGAATGACACCCCTAGTGTAGACCACAACATAAAGACACCTAATTTAGATAAAAACTCATACATTATGTTTGATGAAAACTTGAAAGGAATGTCTTTTTCAACCTATGACAACTGCTAAGAGACTAAATCAATTATCACAAATACAACAATTCATTAACCCCTTACGATTGCACATATTTTTGTTAAGTGAATACTTCGTATTGACTATAAGATAATTGTATTAGTTGCATGTATTTATGTTAAGGGTTAAATTTAACTATGTGTTGATTATTAAGGGTTTTTTTATTATATACAATGTTAATTGATGCATTAACCGAAAATTTTCTCACTTAATGATAATGTGATGTTATATTTGTTAATCTGGTTAACCAATTAACCAAACCGTTTAGACTTTAATTTGATTATTGTATTAGTTTGGACGGTTTGATTATGATATTGTATTTCAGGGTTGGTAGAATTTAGACTTATTTGGTTTGGTCATTATCATGGTAACCATTTGAACACCTCTACATGTGACATCTTATTAATAAAAATTGTTACTGTGTAGATCCAATAGCCATGAGGCACTCAACATTCTGTCATACTATTGTAGTTATTGTAAATAAAGGTGGCAAATGGTCGAATCCATGGATGATGGATTGATAGATTGGATTGGTAGATCCATGGATCAAATGGATTGGTGGATTGATCGATAAATCCAAATGACATCCAAGTCTTGGATCAATATGTTAATTTTGAAAAGTTTGGGTACTAAAATGTCATAATAATAAAAATTTAGACACCAAAATGTAATTTTCCAATGACATTTTTGTATAAAAAATAAATTTAGGTAAAAATTTATAAAATATAAAACATATAGGTACTAAACAATGTGCCAATTCAATTGAATTCGGATCAATTGGATTGGATATAAATGGATTGTATTAGTTGGATATTTAAGTGGATTGATTGGATTGGATTGGATTGGTGAATATTGGATTGTGAATTATCACCTCTAATTGTAAACACATCCTTAAAAATGGGATTTAACGCATTGTATTTTGATTACAAAGGAAATGACCCTCGTATATAAGTGTCTATCTAACCCAATTATTAAAAGGTCTTTTCGGGAGGACATCCAAAAGTAAATTCATGGGAGTTTGGCTTAAAGCGAATAATAAAATACTAATGGAGCATCCAAACCAGCAATTGATATCATAGTTTTAATTCAAATTCGAGACGTTGGATATCAGAGTGGACCCTCATTTAGTGACCTCAAAATTTGATATATGCGTTGGTCTGGCGGGTCAAATGAGATATGCTTCTGTTTGGCTGAACAAGTGATGATTTGTGGAACATTGAATACATTGCTCCAACAAAGGAAGCAGTTATGGCACTAAAAATATAGTATTCTCATAGTCCTATATTTTGATGCATTCCACCTTATATCGATGCATCTTTAGTAATTTTTTACTATATTTCCATGGATTTTACAACTATCTAATAAATGTAGTTATTTTATATCTTAGTTACGTTTTGTATTATTATTATTTTTATACCTTTTTTATATCATTTTGTGCATTTCAGGAAAAAAAATAATCAAGGAGAATTAGGATAAAATACTGGATTAAGGACAAATCAATGTTGAAGCCCATGAAGCATAACTTTTGAAGCAATTTGAGGTTTTCACATACCAAATCAATGTCAATTAAAGCCTAATTTATCATGGAGCTTACTTAACAGTCAAATAATACAAATATGAGGGGAAGAAGCAACAACACCACCAGCCCCTCCATTTCCCTATAAGTTTCTAAAAGCTTCTTTCTTCATCCCCAGGTAACAAAATCCGATTTCAAGTCAAATAAGGAAGGTTTCTAACCAAAATTTGAAGAAAACTCCCAATATCACACATCTTTTGTACGCAAGCCTTCATGATTCCTAGCGAGATCAACCCTTAATTAACGATATTCACTAACTACTAACCCTGACAATGGGGAGCGGATATGGTGACAACACCATATTTGTTGTTATTGTAACAACACTAGTCTCCAAATAATAGGAAGTTTAGGGTTGTGATGACTTTTTATTAGCTTAGTTGACCTAGTGTAAAGTTAAAGCAGGGGTATAATAGTCATTATGAAAAAATATGTTTAAATAATAAAAAAATAAAAAATATTTTTTCTGTCCAAAATTTTGGTCGCCAGAATCTGGTCGTCGGTCACCGGAATATGCTTTTGTCGCTGGAATATGCAATTTTGTCATCGGAATATGCTCGCCGTCGCCGGAATATCCTCAACCGTGGTCGGAATATGCTTACCGGCGTCGGAATCTAGTCATCGGCGCCGGAATATGTCTATCGGCGTCGGAATATACTCACTGACGGTCATTGGAGTTTGGTCAACGATTTTCGTTGACCGGTCAACGATTTTCGTTGACCGGTCAACGACCACCGGACATAATGGTTTGCATTGTGAGATTGATGGTTTGGTTTCTCGTGTTTTTTTATGCTATTTGTGGTTTGCTTTATCGTGTTACTGGTTTGCATTAAGAAGTTTCTGGTGTGCTTTAAAAAATTTTGTGGTTTGTTTTGCAGGGTTTCTGGTTTGTTTTAATAAATTTGTGGTATGCATCAGGACGTTTCTGGTTTGTTTTGTGGGGTTTCTGGTTTGTTTTAGGGGATTTGTGGTATGCATTAGGAGGTTTCTGGTTTGCATTAAGAAGTTTCT